AAAATCAAATCTGATATTGTTTTACCTTTTATTTGGTGTGTGGAAGGTGTGCGGAAGAGGGGGTAGTCTTATACGGCGAGTATATAACAAACTCTGTATTTTGAGTGGAAATGTTAGGGGGTCATCTTATATGCCGGCAAATACGGTATTTTAAAAAGAAAAAAAAAAGAATTAGTATCTATTTAATATTTTTTAAAATTAATTTTAGCCATGGCTGGTGTGACTCAGTTGGTTGAGCGTCAGCCCATGCACCGAAAGGTTGCTGGTTTGATTCCTGGGTGGGGCACATATGCAGGTTGTGGCTTTGGTCCCCTGTTGGGGTGCATAGGGGAGTCAACCCATAGATGTTTCTCACTTCAGTGTTTCTCTCTAAAAAATCAATTAAAAATATTTTTTTAAAATTTATTTTAACATCACAATAACAGGATAATTGCTATATTCAGCATGTATTACCAGATTGTCACACTTTTACCTGCTTAAGTATATGACACACTTTGTTTTTTTAGGAACTTGAAGAAAGTCTGTATTTATTTACTTATTTTTTAATGTATCTTTGTTGTTGAAAGAATTATAGATGTCCCCCTTCCCAGGCCTTCACCCCACTGTTGTCTCTGTCCATGGGTTATGCATATATGCATATAAGTTCGTTAGTTGATCTCTTCCCTCGCCCTTCCCGCCTCTTCCTCTGAAGATCCTTAGTCTGTGGCATGACTCCATGTCTCTGCATCTATTTTGTTAGTTTATTTTGTTCATTAGATGCCACATTTGAGTGAGATCACATGGTACTTGTCTTTCTCTGACTGATTTATTTCACTTAGTACAGTGGGGCCTTGACTTACTAGTGTCCTGACTAACGAGTTTTTTGAGATACCAGCTGTCTCTCTGCCGATTTTTTGCATTGAGTTGACAGAGTAATTTGAGTTAACGAGCTCGTCTCGGAATGAATTAAACTCGTAAGTCAAGGCCCCACTGTATAATACTCTCTCAGTCTCTCCTTGCTTTCTCAAAGGGTAAGAGATCCTTCTTTTTTCACAGCTGCATAGTATTTCATCATGTAAATGTACCACAGTTTTTTTTAATCCATTGCATGCTCTTGCCTCTTTTATCAAATATTAACTGAGCATAATGGCTTGGGCCAATTTCTGGGTTCTCTGTTCTGCTGACACATTTTGGAGAAGAACCTTGTAACTTGAAAAAGCATTTTGCTTCAGTCTTTTAGAATATAGTTGGTTCTAGAATGAAAACTAGTGTAAGAAACAATAACTCAGTGGTTTACTTTTTCTTTTTTTTACTGTTAGAAATTAGTGGAACCAATTAGAGAGCTCAGATAATCTTAGCATCTGGTTCAGGGGTTAATACTAGGGAGTTCATAGATTGGTTTGGAGGTTTTGAATTCCTGAAATTATATGCAAAATTGTATATGTACATTTTTGGAGGAGAGCATTGGTAAAATTTTGTTACATTTTTTAAAAGATTAGGGCCTAGCCCTGACTGGTTTGGCTCACCAGATAGAACATCGGCCTGCGGACTGAAGGGTCCCGGATTCGATACCAGTTGGGGGCATGTACCTTGGTTGCAGGCACATCCCCAACAGGAGGTGTGCAGGAGGCAGCTGATCGATGTTTCTCTCTCATCGATGCTTCTAGCTCTCTATCCCTCTCCCTTCCTCTCTGTAAAACATCAATAAAATATATAAAAATATTTTTAAAAAAGATTAGGGCCTAATTGAGGTTTTAATACACTAATGGAGTCTAAGGTCATAAATGCTGAAATAGGTACAGAAAAGGAACTCTTCAAACCACACAGCTAAGTAACGGTAGACCTAGTGCTGCTGCTGCTTTTTCTGTTTCCTTGGGCTTGGGCAGTCTCTTTAACAGAAGAACAGTGGCTTTTCACTGTCTAAACCAAGGGGTGGGGAACATTTTTTCTGCCAAGGGCCATTTGGATATTTATAACATTATTCGAGGGCCATACAAAGTTATCAACTTAAAATTTGGCCCGCTATATTTGGTCAAACATTTAATTAACTCGCCCCTAATGCCTTGGCAGGGCTAGACCAAATGATTTCACGGGCCTTATACAGCCGGCCAGACGTTCCCCACCCCTGGTCTAAAGAAAAACTACAAAATTATATACCTGTTCAACTGGATTCAAACGGAACACACTTCTTAGAAAAACTACAGTTGCTAAGAAACAACCAACTGTTTAGAGTTCATTAACACTAAAACAGGATTTTAGTTTTGCTTTTAAATTGAAAACTTTTTACATTTAAGCAATGCTTTTATTCGTTCTTTCAATAGATATTTATTGAGTACCTTGCTTTTTTTTGCTAAAGAAAAAACAGGTTTTTTGCGGGGGGACTAGGGGTAGTGACAAAGTTGATATACTGGGCTAAAAGAAGGATACAGTGGAGAAAAGTCAGCCATTAGAAATACCACGCGTCTAATATTCCTGCCCAGTTATCCTTCTTTCTCAGTGTAACAGGTAGCAAGTCTTAAATTCTAGGCCTACAGAGGGCGCACGTGCTTGTATTCCCAGAAGACTTTGGTCTTTGCACGTAAAGTTGAGGGAAGCTGAGAGAGTGGGCTGTTGCACCTGGATACTGGCCAATAGTCTACCCTGGTATAAATTTGCTTCACCTGCTTCATGGGACTAATCCCAGTGAAATATGAGAAGTTTGCACTTGAGGCTTTTAGAACAAGCGTATCAAACTCTTGGCCAGTAGGCCGCATGCCTAAAAAGTAAAACATTTGTGGTCTGGCCGGTGTTGCTCAGTGGTTGACCATCGACCTATGAACCAGGAGGTCACTGTTCAATTCCTGGTCAGGGCACATGCCCCAGTTGCGGGCTTGATCTCTCTCTCTCTCTCTCTCTCTGTCTCTCTCTCTTTGTCTCTCTCCCCCCTT